TGCTACACATGGAAGATGTGTTGCTCTCCTATTGGTAGATGGCTATAGTCCAATTCTCATTGCATCATAGACTGGCACAGTACACATTATTATGTGTAGGTGTGGAAGTTATGTTCATAGGCTTGATAAATGCACAAAAACTTTTGGGCAGTTCTGTAATAAGGTAATAGCTATCTGTGTAGAGATGAGTATCTCTCTGAAACACATTTTCAGGTGAGGGAAATGTTAACTCATTACCCTCCATTAATTCTACTTGAAGCTGAAGGAACATTAGTGTAATAACTTTTTGCAGGATTAAACCACATGAACTGTTTTGACTTGCAAATACAATTTGTTTTAATAGAGCAGAACACTTCAATCCCAAGCTAGTCACGTGATATCACATGATAAGGTTACTGTTACTTATGTGCTTCAGTCAGTAATAAGGACAAGAAAATAAATATGGCAAATAAAATTACCTTAAGACAAGAAAGAAAAGTATTGTGGAGAAAACAAAAGCATAAATACAAATATAATAATCAAGGAAATTAATATATTTGTGTGTGTGTGTGTGTATATATAGTGTTACAACAGTGGTAGTCACGTGACGCTGGTAACACGTCATGATATTCTAGAAGGATCGGGGAACATCACGAATAATCCAGTCTGTGCTAGGCGCCCTCTATTCCTGTATATAAGTGCGCCAGATAACGTGAGACAAATTAATAGAAATTGAATTGCAGACAGGCACAGATAAAGATGGACAATTGAGTCAAACATGGTAGTGACTGTAAGTAAGTAAGTACGGGAATCATTGTGAATAATAGCGTATGTTTAAAGGGACTGTGGAAATTATGTGTATTACAAAGTTGAATTGAGAAAGAATAAACTAGTTTTATTTAAGAAAGGACTTGTATCACTAAAGTTTCATCCAAAAGAAATTATACGAGAAATTAACAAATGACCAGAGGCGTAACAAATTGGTGTCAGGAGTGGGATAAAAAAGAAAAAGAAGATAGAAACGAGAAGCGGCAAATCAAACTACAGCTCAGCAGATTTGTTGGCAGCAATACAAGAACAGCAAAAGAAACAAGAAGAGAGATTACAGCAGTTGTTGGAGCAAAAAGAAAAGAAACAAGAAGAGAGATTACAGCAGTTGTTGGAGGAAAAAGAAAATAAACAAGAAGAATGAGAAAAGAAACAAGAAGAGAGATTACAGCAGTGGCAAGAAAACCTGCAACAATGGCAGCTTGAACAGCAAAATAAACAAGAGAGATTACGGTAGTTGCTGGAGGAAAAAGAAAAGAAACAAGTACAAATGGAAAACATTAGCAAATTTCAAAGTGAATTAAATACATTAAAGGATGATTTACTGTATTTTACACAAGGAGGATATATTAGCCATCGACCTAATCAGCCTCAGGCAAAGGGAAGCCCCTTCCAGACCTCGTAGCTAGACCCT